TGACAGTGTGCTCAGCACTACACAAAACATAGGACCCAGTGCCTTCCCTTATCTGATGTTGAGAAGCCACCTAGGAATTAGAATCTATGAACATGAGTTTCGAAGGTAGCACCTTTAGGTGTTTTAGTTCACAGATATTTTAATGTGTGTTGATTTACAAACTGTAAAATAGAATGGAAGTTTAAATATTAATCTGAAAAATAAATTTTGTATGAGGTGGCACTGTTTGGCAATATGCTATTTCCCTTGAAGCTGACTAAGTAATAGTTTCCTTATACTTTGCTGTATTCCAGTACTTACTCTTCAAGTATAAGATCTATTAATCATTTTTATGACTATGAAAGTAAGTTAGTCTCAATGAAAAAATTAGAAAACACAGAAAAGCGTAAATAGAAAAATCATGTGCAATTCAATGTTTAGGTAGCTTATGAAAATTTTTTTCCTCTATTGTCCAGGAAAGTCATAATAAGGCATAAACTTTGGAATCAAACAAATCTGGGTTCAGATTCTTCCCTCTCCACTTATTCAGTGCACCTTGCAGTAAACCTCTTAATCTCACTGAGTTTATTTTCAATTTTGACTTATCTTCCCCATCCAGTTACCATCCGTTTCTTTTCTTTCTTTTTTCTTTTTTGAGGTGAGTCTCCCTCTGTTGCCCAGGCTGGAGTGCAGTGACCCGATCTCAGCTCACTGCAACCTCTGCCTCCCGAGTTCAAGCAATTCTCCTGCCTGAGCCTCCCGAATAACTGGGATTATAGGTGCCCGCCACCACACCCAGCTCATTTTTTTGTATTTTTAGTAGAGATGGGATTTCACCATGTTGGCCAGCCTGATTTTGAACTCCTGACCTCAAGTAATCCACCCACCTCGGCCTCCCAAAGTGCTAGGATTGCAGGTGTGAGCCACAGCACCTGGCCTATTTCTTTCTTTCTTTTTTTCTTTTTTGAGACAGAGTCTTGCTATGTCGCCCAGGCTGGAGTGCAATGGCACGATCTCGGCTCACTGCAACCTGCGCCTCCTGGGTTCAAGCGATTCTTCTGCCTCAACCTCTGGAGTAGCTGGGACTACAGGTGCACGCCACCACGCCCAGCTAATTTTTGTATAGAGATGGGGTTTCGCCATGTTGGCCCAGCTTGTCTCGAACTCCTGACCTTGTGATCCACCCACCTTGGCCTCCCAAAGTGCTGGGTTTACAGATGTGAGCCACTGAGTCTGGCCCATCCATTCCTTTAGAAAAGTGTGCATTGTCCTTTCTTACCCTCATTGCATTCCTCTACCTACTACAATCTGGCTTCCGTCCCCATTATCCAGAAACGACTCTCACGAAGGTCACTAACAGTCTCTGCATTGCCAAGTTCAATGCACATTTTCCTTCTTTATCTTATGCTCCCTCTCAGCAGCTGTGTTGCCCTGGCACGCTGCAGGAGTGATACTGGACAGCTAATTGCAAACATTTCTTTCCAAGTTCAGTGAAGGAGTGTTGGTAGCTTGAAATTATTAGCCACAGTGACAGTATTTACACCACAAAAATCAGCAAATGCTACAAATCAGGGCCTTTTTTCCTGATAGCCACATACTAAACATTTACCTGCACACCAAGGGAGATAGGTGACTAGTTTTCCCTTCATAGGATGCTATTTTTGTTGTTGTTTTTTATTCAATACCACCCCCTCCTGGTTTTCTTTCTATCTTAGCTCCCCTATCCCACTGTTACATGTTAGCATTCTTCTTTTTCTTCTTCCTTTTGTGCACTAGCTCCTTAAATGATCTCACTAATTTCCATGGATTTAAATACTACCACTATGTGGATCAATTTTGGATTTTTATCTGCAGCCCAGACCTCTCCTCTAAGATTCAAACTCAAACATGGAACCACTCATTTAGTTTGTGCTGGGTGTCTTACAGCAGACATCTCAAACTCACTGACAAAACTTAGTTCCATAAAACCTTTCCCTTTCTTTTTGTCTCTTCTTCTTCTTCTTCTTTTTTTTTTTTTTTTTTTTTTGAGACGGAGTCTCGCTCTGTTGCCCAGGCTGGAGTGCAATCTTGGCTCACTGCAACCTCTGTCTCTCAGATCGAACGATTCTCCTGCCTCAGTCTTCCAAGTAGCTGGGATTACAGGCACCCACCACCACGCCCAGCTAATTTTTGTGTTTTTAGTAGAGACGGGGTTTCACCATGTTGGCCAGGCTGGTCTCAAACATCTGACATCAAGTGATCCACCTGCATTGGCCTCCCAAAGTGCTGGGATTACAGGCGTGATCCACCGTGCCGGGCCAAACCTTTCCCTTTCTTATCTTCCTCATCCCAACATTCTCCATTTCAGCAAACGGAACCACAATATACTTGATCACTGAAGCCAGAAACCTAAGCATCATCCGTGGTTCTTCCCTGTTCCTCAGCCTCATGTCTAATCCATTGGCAAATCCTGCCAATTCTACCTCTAAAGTATCTTGTTCTTCTTATTTTTTTTTTCTTCAGCTTTATTCCGATCACATTTTGGGCTACCATCATCTTTCAGCCCAAATACTGTAATAGCTCCAAACTGATCTCTGAACTTCAATTCTTCTTCCCCTTGAATCCGCTCTCCATGTAGCAGTAAAAAGTGATCATAAAATGTGGAGATCACACCATCTGTCTGCTTAAAGTCTTTAAATGATCTTTCATTACATTTACTTTAAAAAACAAATTTCAGGTTTTTGTACTGGTCTCTGCTTATCTCTCCAACTTTTGAAATGTGATTATTTAAGCTCACGTATGTTCTGTTCAAACCTTTGGCTTTCTTGTCTCTGAACGTGTCAGGCTTCCCCTCCACCTCACGTATAGCTTTTATATGTACACCCCCAGTCTTAAATGATCTTTTCCTTGCTCATTCTGTGGGTAGTTCCTTGTGTTCCTTTAATTATCCAATCAATTTAAATCTACCCTTTCTGTTGTTCTTTATTCCAGCCCCTTGTTTATTTCCTGATTGAATGAATAAATGAATCTGTAAGATTCTTAAGGATTTATCTAATAGGACTAAATAATGAAAAAACATTAAAAAGTCCTTAGCATGAGGCTTGGTACAGGGTATATGTTAAATCAGAATTTTGTTTTGTTACTATTTTTCAATTTAATTTAATTTATGGCATTCTGTAGTTCCTAAATGAAGACTTGTGTCTGGAAGGTGGCTGTGTTAAAGCTCAGGGTATTCTCACTTCCTAGTTTCACAGATGGGTAACCTGATTTAAGCAGAACATCCCTAATTTTTATGCTTTGGTTTATTAAGAATGTACTAGTAAAGGAAGGAGTGAATCTTGCTGGTAGGAATTGAAACATTTATGGTGAGCCAAATAGGATAAAAGACAAAAGCATTAATAAAACGACTAGACCACAGGTGCCTTTTGTTTTTTCTGATCAAACAGATCTAGAAAGATCATGTTTAGATTTTGGCAATTTAATTGGTCAGACTATGATGCTGATAAGGCTCTGGTTATATGCTTCTAAATTTAGTCACTTAATTTGATATTAGAGAGTTTGGCAACTTTAATCTTACATTAAAAATAAAGCTTTTCAATCATTAGAGCACCTAGGGCAAGTAGAAGGATGGTGCATTAATTTTATATATATACACACACACGCATATATATGTATATACAAACATATATACACATACACATATACGCATATACTTCTATACACACACACACACACACACACACACACATATATCCTTTTTCTTCTTTTTTTTTTTTGAGACAGGGTCTCACTCTGTCACCCAGGCTGGAGTGCAGTGGCATGATCTCATCTCACTACAACCTCCACCTCCTGTGCTCAAGCAATCCTCCTGCCTTGGCCTCTCAAGTAGCTGGGATCACAGACATGCACCACCACGCCCAGCTAATTTTTGTATTTTTGGTAGAGATGGGGTTTCACCATGTTGCCCAGGCTGGTCTTGAAGTCCTAAGCTTAAGCGACCTGCCCGTCTAGGCCTCCCAAAATGCTGGGATTACAGACATGAGCCACTGCACCCATCCCATTATATTTTTTTTAAGTGGGGGTGATTTAGGCAGTAGCATCGCTTTATAATACTAAGAAGAGTACACACAAACAATACACAACTTAAATAACATTAGTACTGGCATCCAATTTTAAAACCATTAAAGGCAAGAAATTTATTCGAATACTTGTTGGTTGTTTCTCAGGAGAAGTGGCTCTGTTGCCCCTAACAACCACCGGGCCACCAGAGTGACCTTTTTGTACATTTGAGGACGTCTGCACAAGGGGCCCTCCAGGCAATTGCTTTCTGCTTCCTCCCAAACCTGTAGTCCCACCCTCTCTAGTCTCTTGGTCTCCCTTAAGGACTTAGAACAAAATTTTCCTGAATTCCAAGATCTTTTACCTTTGAACCTGCCCTGTCCGCTGTGGTCTTTCAGGGGTAAGGGCTCAAACTCCTAGACCTTGTTTTACCATGTAGTCAAAAAACACAGAAAAGAACAACTTAAGAGAAGTAAGAAAGCTTTGACCTGTGAAAGAAAATTTATAGGAGGCTGTTGGTTTGTACTGAGCTCCTGCACTGGGCCCAACAGACCAAAGCAAAATGGAATCATTCCTGCTGAAGTTTCACACCACCAAACCAAAACTAAGTTGTTTCTCTGACCTTCCAAGGAATTTGGGAGTTGAGGGGAGAGAGAGAGAGAGCCAAATCCCCAAACAGGCTAGTTTTACCCGGCATGATAAGGAAGTCCCCTCTGCTTTAACCTTTAGGAAGAAAGAAACTTCAAAATGACCAATCCACTTTTGTTCTCTATGTCTGCTTCCCCAGCCCTTTCTGTTGATAAAGCCAGCCTTCTCTGTTCGGCTCGTTTACAGATTGAGTTGTTGCCTGATTCTAGAATCACTGATAAAAGCCTATTAAGATCTTTAACTAAATGGGTTGTAATTTTGTCTTTTGACAGGGCCACTCAGTTTTTTCCCACAGAAAGTTTCACTTTCCTCTTGCCTGCCACCTTCTTTTTCAGGAATCCCACTGTATGCTCTCAAGGACCCTGTTTATTCTGCAGCTCAGATCAAAATGCCTTTTTCCTAAAGATGAGGTGGAGAAGAGAGAAGGCCTTTGCTTTCCTTGGCATGTTAGAGTGTGAGCAGTGCTTACAGAGAAAGTTGATTTCCTGGAAAACCTCCAGCCACAGCCCTTTTTATTATTTTATTATTATTTTGTTTACTCTGCCATAAATTCAACCAAGTGTACACAACTCTTTTAATATGTGAATGATGAAACAGTAAAAGCCACAGCCTCACTGGAAGGCAGGATGTGAGTCACCATTAAAAAAAAAAAAATCAACACAGACTTCATCCCAACAACTTTATTTCTAAGGATCTTTCCTAGATATATATTTGCACGAATGTGAAGAGACATGTTCAAGGATATTCAGTGCAGCCTGGTTTGTAACAGTGAAATCAGAAACAACATAAATGACTCACAAAAGAAAAATGGTTACCTAAACTATATTACACCCATACTATGGAATATATCCATGCTCTGCAACATTCAAAGAATAAAATAGATCTATATTCATCGATATGAAAAGACCTTTAAGACAAATTGTTAAATGAAAGCAAATCTATAGAAAAATAAAGCATAATCCAGTTACATAAAAATACATATTTCTTTGTGTATATGTACACACACATAATGTATATATGTACATAAAGAAAAAGATCTTGAATGATACCCATCAAATAGTGAGCTTTTGCTTTGTTTCTGAATTTTTGACAATTTAAGTGTATTGATAATGCTACTTATGTAATTCAACATTTAAGAAAAAAAGGCAAGGAAAGCAAGAAGTCATGCTGCATAGCATAGTATCTAACTGCCTGGTCCCTGGAACCAGACAACCTGTATCCAGATTCTAGCTTGCCACTTACTTAACCTCTCTGTGCTTCCGTTTCCTCCTCTGTAAACTGGAGGGTAACAACAGTGCCTACTGCTGAAGGTGGTTATAGACATGAAATAAGAGGATATGTTCAAAGTGCTTGGGACCTAGTGAGGTCTATGTAAATGTTAGCTAGTATTACTGATTAAGGAGAGAATATATCACTGGTGATTCCACTTTAGTCAGAGAAGAATGATGATTTTTTTCATATTCTGGCACTAGTGAGACCTCAGGAAATGTGTTTTTAAAAAATCAATGTCAAACAGCCCCGAAGATGAGGCTTCTAATGGTCCTGCTATTACCTAGTCTTCCTGGAACAAAATGCACATTGGAGAGAGTACAGTTCGACCGACATTCATACCAAACACTCCACTCAGTGCTAGAGACCAGTGAGGCAACATTTCTGCTTTTAAGGGGCCCATTTTGTGTTATGGGGGGGTGTAGTGGAGGGAAGAGTCAAATCAGTAAACAAATCTTTTTAACACAGGGTAGTACACAAGATGGGATGACACAGAACTGTGAGTAAGCTAGAGTAGAAAAGAATGGGAGGGACAAGAACGCTCCTGGTAGATGTGAACACTCTGGAAAGATGAGAGGAATTAGCAATGAAAGTAAAAAAGGGACTGGGCATTTCAGGTAAGGGAAACAACATGATTTATTTAGGGGAACTACAAGGAGTTTGGTATTGTTAAAATGTATGTTTGTGTATATGTGTGTGTGTCTGTCTGGATGATGAATGGGAAGGGGACAAGGAAGAATGGTCAGAGGAAGTAAGGAACAACAAGTTTGGAAAGACAGTGACAATGATTGGTGACCTTAATTATGTAGCATCAGAGTAGTAGTAGAAACAAAGCAAGATGGTGGTAGAAAAATTACTAAAGACAATCTGCCTCTTTGGGCAGATTGAGAGATTTTTTGTTGTTGTTTTTTGAGACAGCGTTTCACTCTGTCACCCACGCTGGAGTGCAGTGGCCCAGTCCTGGCTCACTGGAGCCTTAATCTCCCGGGCTCAGGTGATTCTCCCATCTCAGTCTCTTGAGTAGCTGGGACCACAGGTGTGTGACACTATGCCCAGCTAATTTTGTATTTTTTGTAGAGATGGGGTTTTGCCATGTTGCCCAGGCTGGTCTCAAACTCCTGGGCTCAAGCCATCTGCCTACTTCAGCCTCCCAAAGTGCTAGGATTACAGGTGTGAGCCACCATGCCCAACCAGACTGCTTTTATGAAAGGAGTCTCATTTTGACAAGTCACCTTTTGAAGAAATATGACAGGCCGACTTCTGACTGGTACTTCCAGGTAGAATGTAGCAGGTCATGGCAGGCCAGTGCTCTTGCACACCTAAGAAAAAGTAGGATAAGTTACCAAAATCATAGTACAAAAGATTTAGTGAGAGACCTTAGTGAGAGAGCTGTGGAAACAATGAACACTGTATGAACTAACATTGCAGAGAGAGGGGAGCACTTTCTAAGGGAGCTGACAGTCTCTGGCCATTTTCCTCCCTGGGGATATTTGTCAGTTCTGAGTGAAGACTAAGAATCAATCGTTGGCTAGGAGGAGGGACTTTGGTGCTTGTGTGGGGCTGGTTTGACAGATTATAAACTAGTATAGAACTGAACACACAGGAGCATATGCTGATGCAGGAGGCTGGGAGACTTGGCTAGAGAGGCAGAGTGAAATATCCCAATTTCATGGTACTTAAGAGACAAAGTCTCACTAGGAGGAGGCATCCTGCCATAAATACACGGCCAGTTACCCTCAAGGCATTTCTTAAATATTGAAGCTGACTGGGATCAGAGGGCAAAAGGCTCAACTCAAAACCTCTGAAGAGCTGAACTGACTCTGAAGAACCGGAGAGCCCGAGATCCAGCAGGCTCTTAACCAAAAGCCAGGAGGGCCACGCTTGAGGAACAGGGACAGAAAGAGATCCCTATTTGGGTTGAAGTGATCTGCCTATTTCATAGAGGATGACATTACCTGAAACCTCTGAATCCTTTTGTATACAATGTTTGGCATGCAATCAAAATAACAAAGCTTGTGAAGGGGCAGGAAAATATGGCCAAAAACCAAGAGAAAAAGCAGACAATACGAGCAAAGCCACAGACGCTTGATATACTTGAGTTAACTGACAAGGACTCTAAGAATAACTATGATTAATAAGTTAAACAAAATGGAAAAAATATGGAAAAACATGAAAAGGTAGGGAAATTCAACAGAGGTAGAATCTACTAGAAAGAATAAAAAGCACATTCTAGAAATGAAAAGGACACTATCTGAAATTAAGAACACTTTGGGTGAGTTTTACAGGCAGAACACAGCAAGGAAAGAGTTAATCTATTTGAGGACAAGTCAGTAAAAATGATCCAAATTGAAATAGAAAAAATCATGGAAGAAAAAAAGGGAGCAAAAGAGACATGTGGGGCATAGACAAGCAGTTTAACATATTTATTATTGAAGAGGTTGGGGATAGAGAATGGGCCAGAAGAAATATCTAAAAGATTTAAAAGACAAGTGAAACCTAAGTAGAATGAAAGAAAATTATACATAGGTATATCATAGTCAAACTGATGAAAACCAAAAATTAAAAAACATTTTAGGCACGGTGTGGTGGCTCACACCTGTAATCCCAGCACTTTGGGAGGCCAAGGTGGCAGGATCATTTGAGGTCAGAAGTTCAAAATCAGTCTGGGTAACATAGTTGGACCCCACCTCTACAGGAAAAAAAAAATTAGTTGGGCATCCAATAGCTGGCCTTCTTGTAGTTCAAGCTACTTGGGAGGCGGAGGCGGGAGCTCAGGAGAGTGAAGTTGCAGTGAGCTGTGATCACCCTACTGTATTCCAGCCTGGATGACAGAGGGAGAACCTGACTGTATTACAAAAATACATTCTATTTTTTTTCTTTTTTGAGACTAAGTCTTGCTCTGTTGCCCAGGCTGGAGTGCAGTGGCATAGTCTAGGTTCACTGCAACCTCTGCCTTGCCAGTTCAAGCGATTCTCCTGCCTCAGCCTCCCAAGTAGCTGAGGCTACAGGTGTGTGCCACCACACCTGGCTAATTTTTGTATTTTTAGTAGAGATGAGGTTTCACCAAGTTGGGCAGGCTGGTCTCAAACCCCTGACCTTGTCATCTGCCCGCCTCAACCTCCCAAAGTGCTGGGATTACAGGCATGAGCCACCACGCCCGGCCCGAAAATACGTTTTTTAACAAAGGAAAAAATATACTTTACCTTCAAAGGTACAACAGTAAGACCAACTGCAGTCTTTTTAACAGAAATTATAAAAAAAAAAAAATGGAATGACACATCTTCAAACTGTTGGAAAAAAGAAAGAAAAAGGTGTCGCTAATGATTTTACCCACACCAAAAATGGATTTGTTGTCCACCATCTCATGCTCATGACTATTTGTGGGTCTTCTGCAACACTCTTCAGTATCCTGAGATGTCTTCCTCATACCCTTCTATATTGTAGGATTTCAGGCTTCACAGTTCTGTAGAGTCGAGATCACCTATGCCACGTTATGTACACTGTAGCTTTATACTCCTTTAAAGTGACCTTTACTTTTATTCACTGGCTTTAATCTGCAAGCAAATCAAAATGTTAATGTCATCCCATCAGAAGTTTGGCATTCCATTGACTATTAGCAACAGCTCTCTGCCTATATATTAGGAACATAATTTGTGTTAGATGCTTCTTTTCTGATTATTTTTGTAAAATAGTGTTGATGTCCTAGTGGTTAGAGAAATGTTTCATGCCTTACAAATGTTAGATTTGGAGTTCAGTCATAAATGATATATCCTATATGTCACTTAAGAATTTAAATGAAGCAGTTCAATAATATAAGTATCAGTGCCATCACTAGCTTGTAGGTTCCTTTCACTATGATTTAACATATCTAAGCAGCAGTGACTGAGAAGGTTTGTAAAACATGTGTCTTCAATAATCCCATAGATTCATCTGCAGAACAGTGAGAACTTACTGTGGCTAATGTGCTCTTCCTGGTCTATTTATGGTATTCAGAATGATCATCTAGTCATTTTTTAAAAATATGTCTCACCTCTCTCTTGGAACTAAAGAGACACCATCCAGCAACCAATGAACAACCTTGATGATTAGGATAAACCAGTTGCCTCTCCCAATCCCTTAGATATTCCTTTGAACTTCCACATATCTAATTCTCAAATACCCTATGGATATGGTTTAGCTCTGGGTCCCCACCCAAATCTCATTGCAAATTGTAATCGCCACGTGTAGAGGGAGGGACCTGTAATCCCCACATTTTGAAGGAAAGAGGTGATTGGATCATGGGGGCAGTTTCCCTCATGCTGCTCTTGTGATAGTGAGTGAGTTCTCGTGAGATCTGATGGGTTTGTAAGCATCTGGCATTTCCCCTGCTTGCACTTTTCCCTCTCCTGCCACCATGTGAAGAGGGTCCTTGCTTCCTCTTTGCTTTCCTCCATGATTGTAAGTTTACTGAGGCCTCCCCAGCCATTTGAACTGTGAGTCAATTAAACCTCTTTCCTTTATAAATTACCCAGCCTCAGGTAGTATCTTTATAGTAGTGTGAGAATGGACAGTACACCTGTGTTTCCTGGTTTGTTTCAGGACACTAGTTCCTGGCGTGGGCACCTTTGGACAGCTAGTACATTATTTTCCCCCTGGCTCCTGCTAGGGACTAGAATCCATTCTTTTTTTTTTTTTTTTTTTTTTTTTTTTGAGACGGGGTCTCGCTCTGTCACCCAGGCTGGAGTGCAGTGGCCAGATCTCAGCTCACTGCAAGCTCCGCCTCCCGGGTTCACGCCATTCTCCTGCCTCAGCCTCCCGAGTAGCTGGGACTACAGGCGCCCGCCACCTCGCCCGGCTAGTTTTTTGTATTTTTTAGTAGAGACGGGGTTTCACCGGGTTAGCCAGGATGGTCTCGATCTCCTGACATTGTGATCCACCCGTCTCGGCCTCCCAAAGTGCTGGGATTACAGGCTTGAGCCACCGCGCCCGGCCTAGAATCCATTCTTATCTCTGCCTTGGTTCCCTTGTACTGATTTCCTTTATGGCAGAGCCTACATCTAAAATATTTAACATCTCTGCTCTGCTCTACCAAATGCTGCCACTAGTCCTCATGTCTAGGTTAGAGGCCCTTCCACGTTTCACATTCTGCCCTGGCTTTGGACTAGATTACTTATTACTCTGTTTAACTCTGTCTCTCATTGTTCAGCCCAACTTTTTTTCTCAGTTGTAGGAGCCCTACAAATGGGCAGCTTTTTCACCCTGTATATGTGCAACTTAGTGATGACTAAGGTCTCTAGAGCACTCTTCTGTAGATTCCTGTAGCTCTTTCTCCAGATAGTTTTCTCTAGGCACTTATCCCACAACTTCCATCCACCACAGCCTCTTGGGACCGTGATTGCTGTCTCCTAAACTCAGTGAGGCCACTGAGCTCTGTTTGGGTTTCTCCTCCCTCCACCTGTAGCCTGGGAGTTTCCTGTAGTCAGAAGCCAGGGCATTCACAGGACTCACTTTATTTGCTTCCCTTTTCTCAAGAAGCACTGTCCTGGGCTGCCTGCTGTCCAATACCTAAAAATAGTTGTTTCATGTATTTTTTTTCAGTTTTGTTGTTTGATTTGGGAAGACAAGTCTAATTTTTACTTCATCATAGCCAAAAGCAGAATTCCAGTTTATAATCTCATTTAAATCTCTGTTCTAACTGTAGTTAAGTGTGTCTTTCTAATACTCTTTATTTATTCTTTCTTTTTCTTCTTAGTTTCACTAAAGATCATTCATTTTGTTAATTATTTTCAAAGAACCACATTTTATCCTAGTTCTTCATTTCAAATGTATTGATATTTAGTTGGAATTATTTCTATGTAAACAATTTTTTTTTCCTCATTCTTGCTTCTATCTCATACCTTTTAATGGTGGTCATTTTACTCTATATAAATATATTTATATATAAACGATACAGAAATTTTAT